GCATCATAATAACTTTGACTCAGTTGTCATTAATTATAACTGAAATGTAATCACAGCTGGGATTTTGCCTACTAATTGCAACCTATAAAGGCAAACATTAATATGTACAGGGGAAAACATACTTTCATAAACTTAGGTAGTAAATCAAGGCATGACCTGAAAAATCCTAACAGGCTGAGGTTAAGATAGGAAACTATTTGGAACAGTTTCAAATATTTCCTTTACAAATTTTACTGCATTGAATGCAAGATTGTCTGTGTGTGTTTTGTGTCATCCAGCTGCCAGTGCTCAGCCTTGGAAGTAGTCAGGAAAGGACAGGCAAGAAGTATAGATAAAATATTTAATCCCATATAGCAGAGCTAGTTTGTTTCCAAGTTAGCGTTAAGGTTCTGATATTGACCTTTGAAGCCCTGTGTGACCTGGGGCACATTAGAGTGAGGGCCTGTTTTTCATTCCTGAGGTAGAGAAACGTTTCCAGCCCAAGGGCTCATTGGCTCATAGGCCGCTTGCCAGTGTTGGGCAGGGCCAGTGGCGCCAATCACAGGGTGTGGAAAGGGCTTCAGCCCCCTCATTATTTGTGGGTAGGGGGCTGAGCCCCCTCACTATTGAGGGGGCCACTATCTTGTGTAGCCTGCTGCTGCCAGGCGGGTGTGGGATGCACGGAGGGTGAAGATCGCCCTCCACACACCCCACACCCTGCTGTTGCCGGGTGAGAGCTTGTGCGGGGGGCGGGGTATGTGGGGGGTGAAGAGCTGTGTAGCCCACCCACTGCCACCACCAGGTGAGCACTCATGCCCTGGGTGGGGGCGGGACGCACAGAGGGGCGCATGAGGTCATGCATATGATGACATGTGATACCAGGCCCCCTCAACGTGGGGGGCAAGTCGGTGCCCCTGGCAGGGCCAGAGGCAAAATTGAGTCGAGCAACATACACAACTCTTGCCTGTGTGCAGTAGGCTACAATTCTGCCGTGTATTCAAGGAAACAAGGGGGCTTGTCCCATTTCCATGACATTTCCAGCAAGGCCAAAGCACTTGGGGAGAGTCTTGAGCCAGTGAGGGGTGTGACCAGGGCAGAGGCATTGCTTGGGAAGAATCCCAGGGGCCAGGTGCAGAGGACTGGAGGGCCACATTTGGATTCTGGGCCAGAGGTTCAGTACCGGTATGTTATTGCTATATGTCAACATGGCCATCTTCTGATTGACCTCTGCTCTTTTCTTTCCCATCTCAAGTGCTGTGGTGGCCATCTAATCACGGCAAGTACCCGTACTTTGTGGCAGTGAAACCTTGTGCATTAAACACTCTGCTTCACAGAGCCCCTGAACCTAGCTCATACCTTGGGAGAGTAAATATTTCTGCCTCGGAGCTTTCCTTTTGTTGTGTTAATTGTAGAAATAATGGGGTTTTAATATGGTTAGTTACAAAGGGAACTTACTATAAACCTTATGGTAGTAAGCCATGTTGTGTATCTGTTGAGTGGAAAGGCAGGATTAAAAAAATATATATTATATAATTCTCCAGCAAGGAACAGGGCTTATTGAAGCCTTGGTAGCTAATCTACTTTTAGCCCAGTATGGAGGATTCTGGTGACTCTGCTCCCAAAGGAAAAGTGATATTAAAATTCCCCAACCCAGGGTTAAATCTCTGTGTTGCTGAAATTCAAACTTGCAAATGGGTTCACAAGAGGTATTAGTCAGTGCAATGCTAGAGTGACATAAATGCATCTCTGGCAGTTATAACAGCAGAGCAGGTGAAAACAGGGCATGTCACGAGCAGGACGTGGGTATGATATAATTGTGTCTCATCCGAAGACCCTCTGAGTTCATTTTTTATCTCTTGCCAGAGTGTTTGGTGTTACTTTTCTTATTCCCCTGCCTGCCTCCACTCCCCCCATATCACTTAAAATAGAATATTAAATTTTAAAATAGCAGGATTTTTTCATAAAATTCTGCTTTGCACACTTGTTATACAGGGCATATTTTTAGGCTTCCTCTGACTGAAGTTCTGCCAGTAATTCACAGTTCTGTGTATGTAAGCATCAGGGAATCCCTTGGTTTTGGCAAGTGGTCTCAGATTTGGCAAAGAAGAGTGTCATCTCCTGGGTGATAGAGGGGATGCTTTTAGAGCCTATGTGGAGATTTACAGCAGAGGATTCCCTTGAGGGTTGTTTGGTGCAGAGATGACATATTCCCCCCCCCCCTCACAGATGCTATGCACAGTATTACCACGTATCCCACATTCTCTCTCTCCCTCTCTGCCTTGGAGATGCCTGGTTCATTTCCTCCTCCAATCCATCAGTGTTTGAGACTCTCCTCCCTCTCTTCATTTTTCCTACCCCAAAAGGATTGGTTTTTGTTGTTGTTTAGGCTGCTCATGCCTCCCCGCCTAACAGCTGGCGTGCGGGACAGCACAGCAGCAGCAGCAGCCTCTCTCCTGCGCATCCTCCAGCTTCCTGTTGGCCCCAGAGCTTCAATTCTAGTGGTGGTTATTTTTGGATACAGTATTTTTGGTATGGATTGGCGTAAGAGTGGCAGAGAGGGCGTTTAAAGGATGTTTAGAGAATGCTCCCCACTTATGTGATTTAACATGTGGGGAAGGCCCAGAACATAACCCCTGTGTAAGTGGGGAGTCACCTGTATTGTGGGGTGGGTGCAGGGACGCGGACTTATAAAAAATATTGGGGGGGGGCCCGGGAAAGCTCATGAATAATAAATAAGCTCATGAATATGCAAATAAAGTGGCGCCGCCTCCTCGTGAGCGAATAGGGGAGAGCGTGCTGCACCTATTAATCAGCTCCAAAGGAAATTGGGTGGAGCTTTTGCTCGGGAGGGAGGGCAGGAGGCATGCAGCCCGCCCCTCCCTGTGCATTTTGGGCTGGGGGAGGGGCGGCGATGGCGCTCTGCTGGAGGGGCGCCGGAGATTATTGGGGGGGCAGAGCCCCCCCAAACGAATTTTTGAGGGGGCTCGGGCCCCCTCAAGCCCCATGGAGTCGGCGCCTATGGGTGGGTGAAATAAATGTCTCCACAAAATACATGCAAATGAAAAACACATCAAACATGATTTAGCCGAGTCTCTTTTGCTGTTAACATCTTTGCAACTACTTGCCAGCGTCTCACACTTGGAAAAGACAGACACTAACACATCTCGCTTTTCTTTTAAAAAGAGAGAGAGAGAGAGAGAGACAGCAGCAAATTATACCACCCACAGTCCTAAGTAAGACTGAACTACTTTTCTATAGCTCCCTAGCCAGCAGATTTGGAGCACAGGTTTGTGTTTTCTCCCTTGTGCAAGATGTCTGTACTGCAAGATGATAAATTGCAAATGAGTTTTTTTGTGCATGTGGTGAATTACAAGTTGATGCAATGTATACCAACTTGTAGTTTGTATCAAGAACCCCCCACCCCACCCCCCGCTTCTCTGGCATCAGTGATCATTTTCTTTTTCTCCCCCAGTGCCCTGCAAATCTTGTTTCTTAGTGGGCTCATGCTAAGTCAAGCACTTTGGGGATTGGTCTGCCCAATAATTACTGTTGGAGACTTAATTGAAGTATTTTGACAGTCTGTTCTAATTATCTTACTTCAAACCTACCAATGCAAGTAAGGTTTATTATGGGTTCTTTAAACCTGGGATTGGTCTCTCTAGAGAGATTAATATGTTAAATATCTGAGTTTTAATTAATACAGTTTCTTAGTCCCAATAAGACCTTGTTCAAATACTACAGGGGGGATTAAGGTAACCATTTCAAAATAAGTCCCTGGAGAGAAAGGACATTTGTACCCGGGTTGAGCTCTCCCTTGTGGTGACATGTTACAGGAGAGATTCATCAGATAGTCCCTTGAGGAAGAATAATCGTACAGTACAAGAAAGCCAGGTGTGTGCTGCTTGGACTTTTGAACCCCGCCTGGGAAACGCTGGAAGTCAGGGTGTCAAATTCCCATCTTGGGGTTGCAGATACGTGGAGCCACTTTGAATTTCCTTCCCATAGTCAAGAGTCAAGACTGATCTAAGATTTATTAGATGAGAAAAAATGGCAGTTCTACCAAATTCACTTTGGCTATGGTGATGTCTTGTTTGGTTGCTATACATATTTGGATATGCTCCATGAAATACCTGAAAAGTCAAGCAAATCCCTTTCTTGTAATTTAATACTGAATATATATATTCCCATGTTTTCCCTGATCGAGACTCAATGCAGTTTACATACAAACAAGAATGGCTAAAAACAGAGAAAAATATCATTAAAAAACAATTAAACAATCAAATTAAAACTATGAAACTATACATTAAAACTATAAAGCCTGTTTAAACTTTAAAACAGACCAGTAATTCCCTTAAAGGAGCATGGCACCAGCCCTTTCATTAAAAGCAATCAATTCCCCAAAGAAGGACCTGCCAGCGGAAGGATAAAAAGGAGGGAGCCAGTCTGGTTTCTCTTGGGAGGGAGTACCAGATTCTAGGAGCAGCCACTGAGAAGGCCCTTTCCCCTGTTCCTGTGAGCTTGGCAGGACTGTAAGAAGGGCCTCCGCTGAAGATCTCAAAACCCAGGTAAGTTCATTTGAAGGAACATGGTCTTTCAGATAGCTTGGGCCTAAGCCATGTGGGGCTTTATAAGTACCGTAATAACCAACACTTTCAGATTTCCCCAGAAACAGACAGGTAGCCAGTGATCTGTTGTAGCAAGGGAGTCATCATCTGCTCCCTATAACCAGTCCCAGTCAGCAATCTGGCTGCAGCTCTTGAGCCAGCTGACGTTTCAGAGCACTTTTCAAAGGCAGCCCCACGTAGAGCGCGCTACAGAAAGCTCTCCCCCCCCCCCAGTTGAAATGGTGCCACTGCAGCTCTTGTGAGAAAGAGCCATTCTCTGCATTGTTATAGCTAGGTCAATATCTTCCTAAGGTTTATGAATTTTTGCTAAATAGCTTTTGATTTTTATAGTGTGTAAATGAATAAGCAACAAAAGTTGACTGCAATGTGATTTATTTATTTTTTCAATCCATGTAGGTTTGAGGATGGGACTGTTTCTTTCCTTGATATTATTGCACTAAAGCATGGATTTGATGCCTTGGAAAGACTTACAGGTTAGTCTGCTGTCCTGACATTAAGTTCTGTGTCCATAAAACCAAGGTTTTGTTGGTTTTCTAGGTAAAACACGTGAGTTACAACCTGGGTTATCCATGACCAAAGGCCTTGTGAAGCTTTAACGGGGGAAATAGATAATTACTTTGAAGCCTGAAACAGTTGAATCAGTTATCGTACAACCAGCTATCGTACAATGGTAAAAATCTTAGCAGTGTTCATATCACACAGTCTTCTAAAAAAATTTAAACTTTCACCAGACCCAGTACCACCAGCTGAGTGATGTTCTAGCTTGGAGCATGAACGCAGAAATATGCAGCTCAGTCCTATCCATATTTACTAGCGCCGTGCAACTGCTTCAGACAAATCTTGAATTCTAAACCAAATTAGCTGTTTTCAGACCAAATTGCGTCCAGCCAGCTCCAGATTGGTCCAGAGTGTGTCAGATTGGTCCAGAGCTCCCCTTCCTTATTTTCTATCTAGAAGTAGTCTTGCACTACCCAACATTCTTTCTAACTACATTGCAGGGTCAGATAGTTAAAGTTATTGAAGAACTATATAGTCAGTCCCATGAACAATTGCACCTTATAGAACAGGTTAAGCTGGGTTAAGCTATTCATCTGGGAGCAAGCATTATTCAGCTCAACAGGACTTTTGAGTAGGCAGGTATAGAATTACACTGTAATTATTCAAAGTTTCATCTCTAGGATTTGTGAACAAACTAGTGTTCTGCATAATGCACGAAAAGAATGTATTAAATGTATTCATAATACGTGGTATGGTGATCATAAGTTCCACCACAACGCCAGTCTTTTTCATTACTTCAGAGCACATCGTAAACAGTAAACCAGAACAGCTAAAGTAATCTTATTACAAGATTCTTACAGAATTTAGTATATTATGTTGAAGTACTGCTGCTCTCAAGAGGCCAAAACAGAGCTGACCCACCCATGAGGTGGGGTGAAGCAGCTGCCTTGGGTGGCAGAAACCTCCAAGATGGCAACTAGCCTGCCCCACGGCCTCTGTCACCGGGGAAGATCTTGCCAGAACCTGCCACCACCACCATTTTGCAACACTGCCACTCACGGTGGGCCAAAATATTTTTACTTAAGCTATACATGGGCATGGCAGTCAAAGTGCTTTAACTTTTGTGCTATAAATTATGTAACTGCCACAAATTCCGTTGAACTGTAATGACTGGATGAGATCTGTGGCTGAACATAAAAAAGCCCTGTCTTCATCTACTCCTACAAAGGGAATTGTGTTTGTCCTGGGAAAAGTAGGAAAAAAAAGACTTGGGGTGGTGGTGCTTGCAGCCCAGGATAAAGAGTAAAGATAAGGGCAACTGCCGAAAGAAAAACGGACATTATTTATGTATGCAACGACAGCGGCAATAATTCTGATAGCACAGAACTGGAAGACTGGAGAAATACCATCAAAGGAACAGTGGCAAGAGAAGCTAATGAACTATGCAGAGTTGGCAAAGTTAACAGATAAACTGCCTAAAAAAGACAATAGTGACTTTGAAAAAGAATGGGAACCTTTTACATCATATTTGCAGAAACAACAACAACAAAAATTAGAGTCATTGGCAGGATTTAAATAAACATTTGCAATTTTATTTATAAAAAACAGGAAGCCTAATAGTATGACAATATAAAGGTAAAGGTAAAGGTACCCCTGCCCGTATGGGCCAGTCGTGTCCGACTCTAGGGTTGTGCGCCCATCTCACTTAAGAGGCCGGGGGCCAGCGCTGTCCGGAGACACTTCCGGGTCACGTGGCCAGCGTGACAAAGCTGCTCTGGCGAGCCAGCCCAGCACACGGAAACGCCGTTTACCTTCCCGCTATAAAGCGGTACCTATTTATCTACTTGCACTTTAAGGGTGCTTTCGAACTGCTAGGTGGGCAGGAGCTGGGACCGAAAGACGGGAGCTCACCCCGCCGCGGGCATTCGAACCGCCGACCATGCGATCAGCAAGCCCTAGGCACTGAGGTTTTACTCACAGCGCCACCTGCGTCCCTTGTATGACAATATAGAAGTATATATAAACAGCAGAATGTAATATGAGATGGAATAAACCAGGGATGGAAGTTGAGGGAAGTCAGCCGGGAAGGGGGAAATTGAAATTTGAATGTAATGTAATGATTACAGATATTGTTAAAATAAAATAAAAAACCAATAAAAATGATAAAAAGATAAGGGCTGGAGACCCTGGTCTTAGACTAAGGAGCCACAGCTCCCCGTCAGCTTCTTTCTTTTTAAAATTATTGTTTGGCTTTTTGCTTAATGAAAATGCACACACAACCATTTAAAGCACAGAGTTGTCTTATCGGCAGCAAGTGTTTAAAGGAGTTGTGTTTTGCTCGAGAAGCTCTTAAGCTAAATGGACTTAATTAACTAAATGTAATCACTGACCATTTATTTATTTGATTGATGAACATATGACTGAACAAAGTTGAGTTTTGGCAATTTAATTAAGGTTTTGAGCCTAGCTGATGGATGAATTTTGGTTCTTTAAATTGGGTAAATAAAACAACATATCTCATTTGAATTTTAAACAATAGTGTTAATGAATCAGATCTTTCAGCAACTGATTTTTCAGTATGATGAACAGAGTTTATGAGAAGACTGGAATGAGTTTGCATATTGATCAGGTCATATTTAAAGATTTATGTTTAGTTAACAAAATTGGGTTTGCCTACAAACATGGCTATGGGTCTGAATAGGCCTTGGACACCTTCACCGGGTGAAGGACATGGGGAGTGCAACCCTGTTGGTGGCTTTGGATACCATAGACCAGGATGGTCCAACCTCCCAAACCACGTGGGCCACAAGAGTACTTCAGTACAGATCCTGTTGGCCACCCCCTGCCTTGTTGTCTGGCAGGGTGGGGGGAGCCAGGACAAAATTTGACGCCCCCTCCAACCTTTGTGCTGCCTTCCCAAAGCTGTGTAAGCAAGGAGGTGGGCTTTGGGGAGGCAGCCCAAGTGCTGGGGGGGGGGTATCAGATGTTTCCGTGGGCTGCCAAAAAAGGCCCTCAGACCATGCATTGGACCACACTGCCGTAGACTATGGTATTCTCCCGAGCTGACTTGTGAGAATGGGTCTGAGAGAGACTATTTCACAGTGATGTCTGTTTTGGGGGGTGAAGTCAAACCGTTGGGAAGTTACAGCACCTGCTGTGGCTGTAGAGACTGATATGGGAGAGTCATGTTTTGTTGCATTTGGGGAAGATGAAGGCATCCGGTAAATAAATAATATACTTTGTGCCTTGCAGTGGATCAGAATATATTCCCTTCAAATTCTGCAACATTTGTAGAACTCTATAATCTCAACAATATAGTCAATCTGTTTGCAAATGAAATAGATTCTCAAATATGAATGGATTTACTTACAACTGCTGTGGGGTTTGTTTGATGAAGAATTGTAACTGCTGAGAATTGTGATGCATGAAGTTAAAACACAGAAGCTCAGCAATGCTATGTAGGTAAAATTCATTTTCCTGTGGATGCCTATTTAAATACTACTTTTTAAAAAAAGATATGTGTAGTATCCTAGCAGGGATTATTTTGTTTGTAGTATGTACAGTTCCTCAGCTGACTTGATCCAATCCTTTCTTCACTGCAGAAACATTAAGATAATTTCAGAAGGACCATATTAAAGCGAATGAAAGTTTGCATATTTTGTGAAATGCTACTTATTCAGCAGCTCCAGATTAAATGGCACTAATCATAAATATCAGATATAGAAAATCCTTCTGAAGTCACCGTGGGGTTAAGTCAGCTGCTTTACTCAGCCACAAACTCATGAAATATGTCATAAAGCCTGTTTGACAACTTCTCCTAATTACTAGAGGTATAAAGGACAGTGTCATGTTGTGGTTTGGGGACGGAACTGGGAAGTGAATTTAAAGTTTACTTTGAACAGCTTCGCTGTGTGTGACAAGTTGATCAGGCCTGAGAAACACAGCCTGGGAATCTTTCATTTCCTAAAGGGATCGCTAGGATAACAGAATGAACAACCAGACCTCAACCTGCAAAGTTGTTGCAAGGGAATATAAGAACAAGTCACCAGACAATGAGAGTTCAGAGGTTTATTTCCAAAATATTATTATTATTATTATTAATAATAATTTTTATTTATACCCCACCCTCCCCAGCCAAGGCAGGGCTCAGAGCGGCTTACAAGCAATAATAAAAACAAGTTGAATGATTACAACTTAAAAACAAAATTAAAATACAACATTAAAATATTGAAACATTAAAATATTAAAATGTAGCCTCATCGCAGGAGGAGAAGGAAAGGAAAAAAGAAAGAGAGGGAGGGAGGGAATCAAATTGGCTCCAAGCCAAAGGCCAGGTGGAACCACTCTTGTCTTACAGGCCCTGCGGAAAGAAATCAGATCCTGCAGGGCCCTGGTCTCATGAGGCAGAGCGTTCCACCAGGCCGGAGCCACCACTGAGAAGGTCCTGGCTCTGGTTGAAGCTACTCTGACTTCCTTAGGGCCTGGGACCACTAGGGTGTTGTTATTTATGGACCTTGAGGCTCTCCGTGGGGCATACCAGGAGAGGCGGTCCCATAGGTACGGGGGTCCTAGGCCGTGAAGGGCTTTAAAGGTCAAAAGCAGCACCTTAAATCTGACCCTGTACTCCACCGGGAGCCAGTGCAGCTTGAAAAGCACTGGGTGAATATGTTCCCATGGCAGAGACCCCGTGAGGAGCCTCGCTGCAGCATTCTGCACCCGCTGGAGTTTCTGGGACAGCTTCAAGGGCAGCCCCGCGTAGAGCGAATTACAGTAGTCAAGCATGGAGGTGACCGTCACATGGATCACTGTGGCCAGGTCAGGGCGGAATATTATTGCCTCCTCTCCCCTGCCCTCCCCGGATCCATTTATTTTGCCATTTTGACTTTAAATGGAGCTCACAATATTTTGTGAATGTTACAAGAGCCAGAGTGATGTAAGACCTGGGAGACCAGGGTTCAAATCCATTCTCAACCAT